TCTACATTTTTCGGACATTGAATATGACGTTCTGTGATACAAATATATCTGCATACATATCGCATACGCACACGTACACGCACACATATATAATAAACAATATGCAAAGTACAATATGTGTCCACGTACGTGCGGCGACAGGTCGACTATTACGGATCTGCGGGCGAGCTTCGTTACCGGGCCTGTGTGATTTCCCATGCAAATTGAGTTGTTCGCCTGTCATTATGCTAATAAAAGTAATGGCGCGTCGCATCGGGATAATGCAGCTGTCGTAAAAACGTACCGCCGCGATCGGCATCGGAAGGGTGGCATCGCGAATCGCGGACGTCGCGACGCCCGTTCGCGACCGATCGCCGTCGGCCGCGCCGCGACAGGTGGCCGACGGGATCGCGGCTGCGCTGGTGAAAGTCCCTCGCGGGAGCAACGGCTCTTCTTATCGCGCGCCCGCGCGCGTCCCTTCATTACGCGCGGACAATACCGGGGAAACGAGAAAATGGAAAATGTGTGTTGTAGACCCACGTCGCGAGCGAGAGGGAAAGCGAGGTACGGCGGATTTGTCTCACGATTAGTTTTCACCACCTGCGAACAACGGGCGCCGGGCGCGAGGTATGGGATTAGCCGCGCGAGAAGAAACGCTGGAAATGATCGGGAGACGAGTTTTTTTTTTCTCACCGCCGCGGGATATCTCGGAGATAAGGCCGGCGCGGATTTCTCTCCGCGGGCAAAGCTACGCTTTCAGAACATTTCCCAATTTTTCTTCCGCGCGCGCGCGCGGCTCGAATTAGGCGCTCGCAAACGTATTCCACGACGCTTTCTACTCGAGCAACATTCTCGCCCGAGGTTTCGCGGAACGTTGCGTATGTCGGCGTTATGTCACGGAATGCGTTTTCGTCGGGGCCTAAACGCAACGGCTCGTCGCAGCCTGCCTTCGATACGGCGGGGTATCGCGCGCGTACTCGCGGAGTTTCGTGATAGTAATTGCATTTATGTAAGATACGCGCGCTAAATTGCGCTGCCGGTGCGCCGCCGTCGAAAATAATAACGCGGCGATCGTGTGTAATTAACGCGCCGTCATTGTGCTCGCGCCATTTAACCCAGGTTTTCCCCCGCGGTATTAATAATGTATAGGACTCCGCGGGAGATAGAGAAGCCTCTCCGCGCCTCCTCCGCCTCCTCCTCCTCCCCGCCTTCCTTTTTCCGCGTACCGAACGCGAAAATGCAAACGGCCCGCACGTCAATGACTCGTTTCTCACAAAGCGAGCGAGAGTCGTCCGCCGTGCCGCGGCGGTGCATCGTGGGACTGACGGCGGAAACGCGTCTGCTGCCGCTCCGCGCGGCGTTACGTGCGTGCATAATGCATATCGCGTGACTCCGTCACGGATCCGGACAGTTACAACGTGTACACGCGTAACAATATCGCGTATCACGGCGAATCTCTTTCTGCTACCGACGTCTGGCATTTTAATCCAAGTGTGCGTGTCTTTTTGCGCGTGTACGTGCGAGAGAAATAGATCGCCGGGAATGCGTGTCTTCGTACGAGTGAACGATAGCGTAACGAGCGGCGTGCGTACTAATAAAAAAACAAAAAAAATATGTAATGCTGCGCGCGCGCGCGCGCGCGCTCTGTCGAGACAGGTCCGCGCCGTGCCTTCTTCTCCCTCACGCGTAAAGTGCGAAAGTGCGTACTTGCAAAGCACCCTGTATATTGCATTACGACCGACTGACTGGTTACATTGTAGCGCAATTACACTATCCCTATGTTAGATCTATGATAATGACATTGCCCGGTGTTGTACCTCGCGATCGCGGCGAAAGAAACACTTTTGCAGTAAAATAAGAATTTTTTTGTTAACACAGCAATAAACGTTACTTTAACGCACCGCATTAATATATTTCAAGCCGCGGGACTAAGGGAGGAAAAATAATCGCGCAATCAATCGCGTATGTTCGTCCGCGGCTCGTAAGACCGAGGGCAATTCTTCTTTTTTTCCTGTTATTCACATCGATCTGTCGGAACAAATGGAAACGCTTTATCTTGACACGGCGCATTAGAGCCTAGGTTTTCTTTGTTACATACGAAGATGGGCGGGCACGTAGAGGGAACAAGGCTGCCGTAATGACGGTTTATCGCAATTAAAATTATACTTGCTGACTACGTTGTAGCACAATTACACTATCTGCCGGTAGATCTATATTAATAACCGCGGAGCAATAACAACTCATTTTTCTCTTTTCTAACGTCCAGATGCTCTTGCTCCGTGGCTTACCTAACCGTGCAGCCCATTATGCGTTTGTCGGGAACGTTAAGAACGAGGATCGGCGGCGCGGTGTTCCGGTGTACGCTTGTAAATTTGTTTACGATTAGTTTCCCATTTCCAAGCCTCATAATTAACCAACGGGGAACAGTTACTTTTTAATTACCTCAAAATGAAGTTTTTTCGTTCGAGCCTGCTCGAGCTCGGTGTTCTACCCGACGATCGCGGTTTTATTGCGTTTGCCGTCACGTTCTCGCGAGACGTCGGCCTCTCCGTTCTCATTGAAACACGATACTCCCGAGCGCTCGCTCTCTAAAAGCCAATCGGTGGGTCATCACTGAAACTCATGGATAGTAACCGATTACAAGTGTACCACGATTGCAGTGGTGTACATATCTGATTGGCGATAACGCGCCGATTGACTTTGAGAGAGCACGAAATTGTAGTCTGTGCTAAACAGTGGATATGACGAAAAGTGCGATTTGTAAAACGTCGCGTCGGGAAAACTGCAGGACACCGAGGCTCGCCCGCTGTGCTTTTACGAGCTGCAGCATGCCGGCCAATTACACCTTCCACGGTTAGGTGGTTCCACGTCTTAACGGGCAGTTAGTGCGAACATAAATGTCTCCGCTGCATGCTTTTAATTGCCCGCTTATAGCACCGCTCGCAAGATACCTACGCGATGGCGAAAAAGGCAGTGGCCGACGTAGAAATTTGAGACGCTATGGTATGCGAGGCGAGCGATACCTGCCTCTCGGTTTATTTCCCAGCGGCCGATGGAAATCGTCGGTCGGGTTTCGTCAAGCTACAAGAATTCCCTAATAAATTTCGAGACGATCCTTCTTCGGCGCGACAGAGAAGGGGAGAGAGATAGAGAGACCGAGGGCTCGTCAAGAGCTATTTTCCGTTTATAACTATTGAATCTACAGGCGTTCAATAGCGAAATCGCAAGATATACAACCGTGACGCGAGATCGCAGGATTGTGTCCATCCCCTTCTAACACGCTCCAATAACAAGTAACACCGTAAATCTCGCCCGATCTTATTATAAGTCACTTAACCGGTACTCGTTTTCGACGTGTGCGCCGCGTGGGTGTGCGACGCTCGTGGGGCCCGTCGTGAGGGCCCGTGGCGGAAGACTCGGCCGCAGGCACGCCCGCGCGATAACTTCTGGCCCCGAGCAGGAACACTCGAATTTCGGTTATTAATTTCGTGAGGGGGCGCGACGGGGTGCTACGACCCCCTCGTGCGTGTCAAACCGGGGTTGGCCCTTCATCGTGGCTCGCCCTTGGGATCCCCCTGAGACAATGGTCCCCCGCGGCGCTGGATGTCTCCGACGACGTCTGGGGAACCCCCATCGGGACACGAATGCCACGGTCGCAGTTTTACTACTATAGAGACGTCAGTTATCCGTCCCGTCATTTTGTATTCGGGCCCGGGATTTACAGGCCTCCTCTGCCCCCCTTCCTCCGAATTATTGGAACGACTGTATTGTCGTCGCGCGTTAATCGGCACGAAATATCGGCAAGGTCACGATATCGCTCACCATGCTGGCTTCGCTTTCAACGAAATAGCAAATGGCTTGCGTTAAATTGCGTGTTTTCTATGTTTCGAAACATTCTGAATCAATTGGCAACGAAAACTGGAAAAAAATTTGTTTCACGAAAACAAAGCTCCCTCTATGAGGAAGCAAAAATTCTAACGACAAAAAGCGAACCATATTTTGGTATCTATACATATTGTTACGCCCGCGTTTTGGACGCCCGGTATCTGGCGAGTCATTTATGTCGCCTGGATACAAATTGTTTTTGTTAATCAACTATGTTATTGATTTTGAGCTTGGCCCTTGCTCTGTAATTCTCTCGCCTTGAACATTATTTTTCATCGTAAAACGGTCTTCGGTTTTTGGACGGATCCGACGGTTTTTGCGTTACCACACGAGGCGCAACAATATCTAAAAGGAACTAAAATAAATTTGAAATCTACATTATCTTCTTTCGAGCGGAATTTATCTCGCGTACCCGAACACTGTACGGTACGAGCAGGTGAAAAGTAGTCGATAATTTGTACAGCTAGCGTATAATTTGTAGTTAACTCGTATTTCGTGTTGCAAAAACATTGTTATTATTTCGACTAATTGAGCACTACTCTCAACCGTTCCTCGTTCATTATTGCAGGTAGAAATGGAATAATAATCGTTAGTTGAATGGGTCTCACAATTAGACCTATGGGTAACTCCTCAAATGCAGCGTGCTTGCGCGAAAATTACGGATAAGTGCTGTTCAGTAACGATTTAACGTCAATAAGTGTCGAAGGATAGCCACGTCAACTTCGGCACATCCGCCGCTTAAGTGTTAAAAGGACCAAATTGTAAAATACTTACGCCCTGCGTACGGTTCGCCAGCGATGTCCGAGGAACGAGCGTCGACGCCAACGTGCGCGTATGTAACAAAAATGTGTCCCATTAATGACCCTCGGAGACGTTTCGCCGCGTAATTTTCAAGTTACAAACTCTTGCAACACGCCGAGGCTCCGTCTCGCGCGCGGCGGTTTTGTAAAACGATTAGCAATGTAAACTACACGCATGCTGATACGCGCGAAACTTCTCGCGCCCTGCGAGCTCTCGTGCCTACGAAGGAACCGGCGGCCGGCAATTAATTGCCGGCCATCGGCTCGGCTTTTCTCCCCCGGCTCGAACCCATTACTTTGTAGCATTTGGCTGGTAACTTAATGACCTATACTCACGGAAGTCGGATCCTGAAACAGAAAAAGCGTGAAGCCACGGGTTAGACATGCTACTCAAAATTCACAGTGCGCTACGAAACGTTTAATTTTCAATTTTAAGGATCGAGCGTAGCATCGCAACGGCGGTGGCGGCGGCAACGGCACTGCTCCTCCCGGTAGCCAGTTTCCGCTTTATTGCTCCTTTTTAAATTGCATTCGCTTAGAAATTCCGCTCGCACCGCTCTCGCCGGTCGTATTATACGCAGTCGAGTACGTGCTTACACGCAGGACGAGGAAGAGAGAGAGAGAGTAGACATTATGCAGGCATAATAATCGGATTGTAAATCGGCCGCGCGACGAAATAGCGTCCTGCCCCCGTGCTACGTGCATAACGTACGCACGCAGTGTCCAAGTATAAAGACGTTCGTCAATTTGTTATGCATGCCTCGGTGGGACGAAAATTGCATTTAATTCGCCGTCGCTCTTGCCATTCCGTCGGTCGGCCGTCCGCGGGGGCCGCGGCCGTCCGTGGACGCTGCGTTGACTACATAAATGTAGATGTTCCATTTAAAAAGCCATTTTCGCGTGTTTAGCATAATACGTAATCGCGCGCGAACCGCCCGTCCGTCGAATCGTCCGTCGTCCTCCGCAAAAGGGCTACCGCGTCGTTAACCGTAAGAAAAAAAAACGGGAGGATGTCGCGAGCAAAAATATCCCACCTTGATCGACATTCCCCGAACAGTTTATTCCACGTGCAAACGAGATTCCGCCGAAATATGGAACGCGGGGGGGCTTTGAATCTCTGCTTTCTATCCGGTTACACCGAGAGCCGCGGGAACAGAGATAAATCCCCGTCTTTCACGTGAAGAGATCATTGCGTTTCAATGTGCTTCCTCTTTCGATCGTATTTTAGTTACACAGTTGTTTATTGATTTCTTTAAAATAAAAAAAAACACGATGTCCAATTTATATGCACCATTTGTGCTACTTGCGGAACGATTCGTTGCCTTTCGTAATTTTTCCGTGTTCCCCGTCGCGCTGATATTTTTTCGCTGACAGAAAATTTTGCGGCCAACTGTAGTTTCGTTTGAAAAACACATCGACGTCGGTGCCGCGAGCGCGTTTCGATCAATCTGCGAGGTAAATGGCAATTCGACGCGACGCGTCGCGTAATTCACACGATGTGCACGCACAGGCATCGCCCGTTCTCGTTCCGCTCTCTTTACTCTTCGGTGGACAGTTTTACCACCTTTCGACAGTACCGGTTGTCAAGCGGCTCGGCGAGAAAAACTCGTTGTCGAATCGCAGGCGAGATCGCCGGTATATCGAAATCGGTATACGCTCGCCGTACATCGCCGCGGTCCGGTGAAATCCCCCGGCAATGAAAGTCGACGGTGCACGGTAAGCGGTAAATTTCGGTTTAATTAAAAGCCGATGGCCTGCGCAGTCCTCTAATCCCTCTTAATTCGAGACAACATGTACCGTCCGTGTCGAATTATGATAAACGTGTGAGAAGAAACGCGCCGGCGCGTTTCCACCGACCGCGAGAAAACTTTCGAGAGCGCCGTTCGCGGCTAAAAGGCGGAAGACGAGGGCCGCGTGTTTCGAATCTCGAGACGGCGGTACAAGATAGATGGTAATACGATTATCTATGGGGATGCTCGGCGCGAACGCGGGATATACATGCAGTTATACGCGATTGCTACCAGCGGCCGTTATGAACATAGAGTATCGCGCCAATAAACGTTTGTACGAGTTTACGGAAAAAAAGGGGGGGAGGGGGGAGGAGAAGAACGTAAATCGAGCGAGTCGGGGAAAGAGCGGGGCGAGAGAAAGAGAGGCAGAGAGGAAGAGAGATGGGAGAAGAGGGCGAGAGGAGGAGGAGGGGAAGATCGGGAGGATGAGGATACCTGTAGAGAGGCTCGCCGCAAGATCGCTCCGGCTCCCACCGGAATTTTAACTTTTAATAATAAAGCGAGGGAGTCTCGTGTTGTTACGTTATGATAGCGCACGCGAAGGAAGGGGAGAGGGGAAGGGGGGATGGAGGCGAATTAAAGGCGGTAGAAGGAAGTTCTCTCCACTCTCCGTCCACGGCTCGCCTGCGGCCGAGGGGCCGGGGCAAACCGCAGCACAGGGCACCGCCGCCACCGCGTAATTGCCGAGCTCTCACTTACCGGTCGTTCGATTGATTATTATTTTTACGCGCTGCGACCCGCCTGACCCCGCCGCCAAGTGCGCGCGAGAGCGAGCCGATCGCGCCGATCGCCGCATCGCGCGTCTTAGATCTCGTCATTAAGGCATCGCCCCGCTGCGGCGTGCCCTTTGCGCTGGACAGATCCCCCCCCCCTCTCCTGTAGATTGTCAACGATGACGGTACCGTCGACAGTATCTCTCGCAGAAGAGATTCGCGATTTTTTAACGAACTGTTTTGACGCAATTTTTGGAGTTTTCGAACTGATCTATTTTGAAATTCGACGGTGCGACATTTAAACCTCGAAATCTCCTTTAGGTTGCCAGCAATAAGTGACAATAAATAAATCTGGTCGGTCTTAACTGGCACGCGTTTAATAAGTTCAGAAAATGTACAGCGACGTTTCGACCATGGGCTCTGGTCCTTTTCGAGCAATTTTCTTAATAATCACGCACGCGTAATAAGAAGTCAATTAATAAATGTCCGAAGGTAGCGAGTCATAATTATAAAATTTCTCGGCAGACGTAAGGTCATTCTCCGGCCTTTGTAGTCTACATACTTTTAACATACTTTTAACACTACCTCCGGACTTTTATTAATTGACTTCTTATTACATGTGCTTGATTATTTATTAAGAATATACATTTTTGGAATTTATTAAACACGCGCCAATTAAGGTCGACCAAATTTATTTATTGGTGTAACATTTAGTTGAATACTTTTTATATTTTCCGACAGAACCAATGGGCGCGCTTGTTGCACACTGAGAAAAATTTCCGATTAAATATAATTGGACAATCCAATTATATAATAACAAACGGACACGTCCAAGTACATTGTACATCCAATGAAACATGTGATCGGGTTTTCAATCAAATTTCATCGGGCAGATTTCGTCGGGTGTATCCATGATTGAATCGGAGTCGGAAAAATTAACCACCGGGAATACTGTTTAATTGGTTTATCCGATGAAAATCTTTCTCAGCGCAAGCTTCTCGACGTATTTCAATCTATCAAAATCTATCGCCGATCGGTCGGTCGGTCGGTCGATCGGTGGCGAGCTATTATCTTTATATACCTCGACCCACCTGACCCTAATGTACCGATCGCTGCCGCTCCTTGAATCATGTTATTAAACCGCTTGATCTTATGGACAAAGGTTGCCAGGTGTGGGGAACGGCGAAATCACGCGAGAGCGCTCTTTCCCTTCTCCTTCCCTTTTTTCATAATCAAAATGTGAATACACCGGAAGTCGTGATCGTATAATTAAATAACAAAGTAGGAATTCCTCGGAGAGATTGGGTGGTGGATCGCGCGCACGAGCTTTTTATGCGCAACAGAGTGCGGCGGTTACGCGGCTTAGCTCGACGCGGCGCAAACAAATTAAAACATCCGCCTAACGCTGTTGCATTTTAAGCGGCGCTTTACCTCGTCTGCAAAACTCGTGAATACGAACTGGAAGAAAGCGCGGAGGTGGAGGCGGTGCCGACGTAACGCAACGCGATGTGGAAAGAGGAGCGTAAGCCTCGCGATGTCCCCGTCGTACTCTTTCTTCGGCAAGAAGCGCAAAGTAATTGGATTTGCGAAGGTGGGAAGCCGCGGATACGAGGGAGGGGGAAAGGGTACCCGGCGAGAAAAGCCGTGTAACACCGTAAGAGAGCGGCACAATGAGCTGTATAAATAAAAAGCTCAACGAGAGAGAAAGAGATCTCGCCGCGCGTAAGCACGGAGAGTTACGAGACCAAAGAAAACCTGCCCGCGTTGTACCGAATAATAATTACATTTCCGCTGTTTACGTACAAAGTACAGAAATTTCTCCGACGAGGGAGGAAAAGGGGAGAGAGGAGGAGGGCTCGGTGAATAAAACTGCGCTGCTCATTTTGTCCCGGAGAATTTCAGTCATGGAAACTCTCGAAACTATCTCGAGTCACGACAGGTGCTACCCGAGGCAATTAAAAGCTCTGCTCCTGACGAATGGGGGCCCGTGTATCTTAATGGCGAAAAAATAGTATGTAAATCGAGTATAAATATCGCTAAGTAATAATTGCTCGGCGAATGAATAGAACGATCGATCGTATCTCGGATGCAAATCGAATGTCCGGCCGCGATATCGACCGTGAACTTTGGGCGCGTGCACACGCACGCACCGCACGCACGCACGCACGCACGCGCGCACGCGCACACGTACAGGCGGTTTACTCATTTAAACTAAATTATTCCAAATAAATGAGCGTGTCCTCGGTAGTGCCTACATACCCCGGGACATTCATTCACCCTTAATTAATGATCCGCTCGAAAGTCGGCAGGATTAATCGCGTGCAATCAGATCACCGTAATTAATTACTTCGTGTTGGAAGCACTTTGTTTGCGTCGGCGAGGGCTATCTTGATGAAATGAAATTACGCGACGTTGTGTCTGAAAATGTGCAAGTCAACGCGCGATACAAATGACTTACTCTTCGTCAGGCTTGTTCCCACCCCGCTTATTTTAGTACGCCCAATAATTATTGATTTCACGAGCAACGGCAAGATATTGTCTTTCTCGTAAATTTGTTTTAGCCGTATATATACGGATCTTTAATTACACGATTTATTTAAAAAAAAAAGAGGGGGAAGATATCTGTCCCTAACCTGGTACGCAGAGGCGATTTATTTACCTGCCCCTCGACAAGCATTGACGCTGTAAAATAACAACTCCCGTGATACTCTTGTTGGATCGCGTTGAAAAGAAAAAAAAAAGATGTATTCCTCGATTATCCCTTTCCTCTCGCGTACGATGACCCGAACGAGCGGCGATTCTCTCCATTTTTCCCCGACGACTTCACTTGCATCAATTTTCGGGG